ACTGTGGCCTTTGAGGAGGACCCTATGGCGGAGTGCTTGGAGAGCCTGCAGTCCCCCTATGGTGTCGCTATGACGACACCAGTTGAGGAGCCTTCTTTGGAGGATGAGATACGGATGGAGCATTCGGTTCACCACTGGGGTCCGTTCAAGACCTACCATGCGATGCGCAGGGATGGTTTTGATGTGACTTGGGCTATGGTGCGCAAGATTTGTCAGCAGTGTGCGGTTTGTGCCCTCTTCCGACCTCTGTTTCCTAAGAGGCGGCTTGGGCAGCCGCCATACTCGCTGGTACCCGGCCACACTGTCTATGTGGACCTGGTAGGTCCACTGCCGGATGTGCACAGAGAGACCATGGGGAAGCCGTTCTGTTACATACAGAGCATCGTTGATTCCGCGACGCGGATGTATGGGGCCACTGCTCTGCAGTCGACTGATTCGGCTGGGGCCCTCCTTGGCCTGGATCTTTGGATCCAGGAACGTGGTGATATTTCGGTGCTAGTGACAGACAATGGTCCAACCTATCGATCTAAGGAGGTTGAGGATTGGTGTGAGGAGCATGGTGTGCAGCATGTGTATATTGCTCCTTACAGCCACCAGAGTTTGGGATTGGTGGAGAAGATGAACAGGACTGTGGTGGACAGACTGCGCAAGTTTGTGCTGGCCAGAGGCCGTGACTGGGTCAGTCATTTGGAGCCTGCTGTGGAAAGCATTAACTCTGCGGTTCACCACACTACTGGGCATACTGCTCACGATCTGTGGCGAGGCACTGAGCTCATGAGGCGGGAGGCCCATGAGGCCTCGGTCAAGAAACGTGAGGCCCGGAACAAAACCCTGCGAATCTTCCCCAAGAAGTATGCTGTGGGCGACCTTGTTTGGGGATACAACCATGCTAGGGAAAGGATCAGGAGGAACAAGCTGGTGCCTAGATGGTTGGGACCACTCCGTATTCTGGAAGAAAAGGATGGTCACCTGTGGCGTACTGAGATGATGGCTCGTCCGGGAAAGCCCGGGAGGAAGCCGATCATGGTGTTTCATGAGAACTTTATGATGCCCTACCCTTGATGTTTGGGTGTATCATCTGAGTAGCCAAAAAAGGAAAAAAGAAACAAAAAAGATAAGGAATGTGCTAGGCTGGTCGTGTGGGGCTAGCAGTCAGTGGTGGTGAGCGGTGTAGTTTTGTTCGGAGTTCTCGCAGTTAGAAGCGTGGGAGTGCCCATGTTCGCGCAGCTGCATAATGACCACCGTTTCACTGGGTGAGTCACTTATGAATCAGCTGGCGAGGGACTCATGTCTGACACGTATGATGACTGTGTGGGATGGCCCGAGTAGGCCACCACCGACTAGAAAGAGAAAAAAGCAAAAACAAAAACAAAAACTGGTCAAGAGCTTGCGCTTTTTGTAGTATGGCAAGCTGGTCATGAAAGTTGAGAGGAGTATTGCCTCAAGGGGCGCTTGGTGACGACTGAGCGATACCCTACGCTGCAAGAGTATTTCCGTGAAAGCTGCCTCACCGGTATTGACCGCGGCTCTCAATATCTGGTGGGGCTATGTGTCCTGAATAAGGATACCGCCCAGTTTGGGCGTGTGTCCAGCCTCGAGGCCGATTGCGCAAGGCTAAGGGGTGGCTGGCCTGAAGAAGGCTAGAAAGAAGCCATGCACGACCAAAAGTGTGGGCCCACACCTGATGGTTCTTTCCAGGGTGGACTACCCCATGCAAGGGCTGCATGTGTTTACTTGTTCATCCATCACCCACAGCTGAAATATTGTTGTGGAGAGAATGTACGGGCTGGCTGTGCCGCCGGCCGTTTCATCACATCATTTTGGTACAGATCCAATCCCCATATGCTGATGTCTCTTTCCAGCTATGGGTAGGGTCTGAACTAATGGTCCTAGAGCTGTGCTCTGGACCGTATTCTTCAGTCGTTTGGGCCCCAAGAAACATGTTGAGATGTGTCTTGCCTCAACATGGGGATGTGCTGGTGTGTTGCCCAGCCTGCCTACTCTTCGGTTGTCCCGAAACGCTGAGTTTGTCGCTGAACAAGTGACAAGATCGGAAAAATGTGGGAAAGTCACTGGATAAGTGGCAAAGAAAAGGAAAGACTCCTGAGCAAGGAGTTTTGGATCGATCAGAGTGCCCATGATTGGGCTGGCTGCGCATGAGAGGGTGCCCTGGTGGCTGATGATTCTTTCCAGCCATGGGGCCGCTCAAGTGTGTGTTTGTGGGGCTGTGCCCCCAGCCGCTCGATTTACAGGCGTGTGCCTTAAGGAACATGCTGGGATGTCTCTTTCCCCAGCATGGCACTGAGCTGATGCTACTTTCCAGCTCGTGCATCCTTTTGGTGTGCATGACCTGATGCAAAATGATGTTTGCCACTGAGAAAGTGGCCGAAATTTACTTGCCACTGTAAAAGTGGTGCTGCCAATGATACAAGTAGTGCAGCCTTGATTGGTACATACCGCTGGAAAAGTGGTTATGCGTGGTTGCCACTGAAAAAGTGATGCAGCCTGTGAAATTTGACGGGAATGGTGAATGTATACCACTGAAAAAGTGGTTGTTTCTGACTGCCACTGGAGAAGTGGTGTTGTCCTTGAAAGTGGACAACATGTTTGAGTGTTTACCGCTGAAAAAGCGGTGCTGCTCCTGAAAAGGAGTTTTGAGACTGTGGAGAGCTGCAGGATCAGTTTCTGAATAAGAAACTGAAGTTCAAGACTCGTTTGAGGGGATATGCTGGAAAAGCATGTTTTGCATCTGATTGCAATGGGTGCACGATTGAATCCCTGCCAACGGGATGTATGCATGGCAGTTTCTGGAGAAAAAACTGCATATTCTGAACTGATTATTGGGTTGGTTTGAAGAAGACCATGCTGAAAAAGCATGGTGTGCATTTGCTTGGAAGTGGTGCTTGTTTGGTCCCTGAAAAAGGGACTTGCATGCTGCCAGACGGCCCCTGAGAAAGGGGCTGGTTCACCTTGATGAAAGGTGTACTTTAGTGCAGCACTGAAGAAGTGCTGTACTTTGGTGTGTATGCATTTAATTTCCTTGCACTGTATTTAGTGTTGAGGTGCCACTGGTCAGTAATTCTGACCATGGCCCTCCGACCCTCCGCCACCGCGTGGGCAGCGGTCTGGCAGAAGCCCTTCGGGGAGTGGGGCCCCGATGAGTGGCTCCCTCTCTCGGGGGCCTGCCAGTACCCTGCCTTACGCAGGGTGGAATCGACCATACCGGTCATCCGAGGGGGGCGACTGTACCAGGAGACGGTTGTCCGTCTCCTGACCCCCCTCGGTATGTCGGCTGGCCATATGGCGGGCCCGGGGGCGGGTGGTCGGACGACACCCGGGCCGAGCCGAGGCGCAGCCCCGAGGACACGAGGCGCGCCTCCATCGGGGTGCGAGTGGGACGCGCGGGCACGGAGAAGGGAGCGGAGGCAGGCCGAGCGGGCTGCGTGCGAGGCGCGAGCGGCGGCGACCGATGCTTTGGGCCGCCCGCTCGGTGGAGAAGATGGGCGCGCGGCGGAGCTGGAGGCCGCCGCGGAAGCTGCGCGAGAGGCAATGCGCGGCCTCGAAGCCGCTCTGGCAAGGTGTGGTGGTGTGGCGGCGAGGCCGCCGATCGACGACGCATTTCTGCGAGCGATGCTGCCGATGGAACGGCCGGGGGGCGCGGTGAGAGATGGAGACTTGGGGGCGCTGAATGGCGCCGGCTTTGGGGAGAATGGCGCCGCGTCGACCGAGCCGTTGGAGGCGCGAAGCGCGGGGGAAAGCGTCGCGCCACCATCGGGGAGTGAAGGCGACTTGATGGAGGGCATTGGCGGTGAAGAGGCGGGCCATGGCGGGCCTTGGGACGATGGCACGGGCGGCGAGGAAGGCGGGGTCGTAGGCGCCGATGCGACCGGCGCGATCGGCGAGGATTGGGCGGAGGTGGCGGGGCCCTCCGTGAAGGAGGAGCCCATGGGGTTCTGAGCCGGCGCGGCGGCCGGCGAGCGGCGAGTGTCGCGGGCGCGGGGGCAGGAGCGAGGGTGCGCCTCGCGGGGAGTGAGGTGATCTGGTGGGGACCGGTGCACGGGATTGTCACGTGGGCGGGGGGAAAAGGGCTGAAGGGGGACAATGTACTGTAAAGAACTGGACGAAGGGGCCAGCGGGTGTGACGGGAGGCTGCACAGCCATACGCAGGGGGCCAGTGGTTGTTTGATGGGCGTATCTGTGTGGCCGGAATTAGCTTGCTGTGAACGGAAATGTGGTGGCGGCGGACGCATCGCTCTCTCTCTCGCGTTTTGCTTGCACTGTGGCTGCTCCCCAGGGACCGAACGGCGGGACGAAGTGTAACGATCGGTTGTTTTGAGAGTGTACCGGCGAGTGGCGTGTGCCTCGCTGTCACCTGAGCGCACGGGACGCGAGGAGCGCCGTGCCACGTGCAGGAGTGCGAAAAGGGCACCTTGGCTGTGCCGAACCTGTCCCGCGGGACAGGAGGTGGGCACCCTGTGACGTGACTTGCGCTACCCACCTGGCTATCAGCAAGGCGCCTGTGAGAACTGTTGTGGCCGTGTTAGACGCCTTGCTTTGTCCTACTTACTGTGTGAAGCAGTTCTGTGTTGTGTACTGGGAAACATCTGCCTGAACCTAGCAAACATCTGGCTGGCCATCAGCCATCTGTCAAAAAGTTGTTTGTGATTAGTGTGCTGTGGATGGAAATGCACTGTACTGGGGCTGGGATCTTGCTGTAGAGGTGTCCTTTGCAGGTTGTGTGACTGCCCTGCACTGTAGCTGTGTGTGTATGCTGACTGAGTAAGAATTGGCCATCTGCTGGGGGGATCAGCCATCGATTTGTAGGGGGATGGAGCAGTATACACTGTGAGTTGATTCATGAACCTTGCACCATGTTGAGCTGAACTCCACAGCATTCTGTGTGAGATTGTACACAAGAGAATCAGTATTGTTGCCTACCAAATTGGCCAGGGCCCATTATGGCCCGGTCGAAGTATCACCTTGCAATTGCACAATTATGTTCAGTTCATTCTCCTGATGAGATCGTTCACGAGGTCCTCACGGTTGCCGAACTGGCCATTCTGCACAAAGTGCCTCCTCTTGTGGGAGACGCCCTTCCGTGGGCACTGGAGCTTGAAGGGCCACAGGAAGTTGTTGGCCTCCTTGAAAGCGGGGCCCACACTGTAGATCTCGTGGACCAGGTCTTCAATGCAAATGATATTGTGCTTCTCCCCAAGGGCCTACGAATGGCAGCAGCATAGCTCAAGCGTACTGACAGAAACTCGCTGGCATCGACATGCTTGAGTGAAAGGGCAAACCCTATTTCGTTATTTATTGATCAAGGCAACCATACAGTATCCAAGCAGTTTCATCCCAATCTTTTGGATAAGCGGAGTGCACCCTGCAAAGCTGCATCAATATGCAGGTCTGCATCGGCATGTTGCTATTTTCCTATCGTCAGAGCAGAACTCTGCACTGCAAACATTCATCGATACGTGGCAAATCACTGCGTTTGAGCCCACCAGGTGATGCTGCGCTCATCATCCAATGGATCGTGAACAAGATGCTGACAGAAGGTTTCAAAGACAGATCTGTTCTCACCTTTTCAATAATATCGTTGTTCGTGAGGGGAATCCTCTGCCCATTCACCTGCACATGACAACAATCATTCACCAACACACACAGAACAAAAGGCCAGGCAAAGAGCGTAAAGCCAAACAATGCCACTTCACAGATCAGGTGCTGCTGTTATTCGAACATGTTTGCCAGCTTGTCAGACAACACAAGGCAATGGAAGGGACCAAAGTGAGTTGGTCAATTCATTGGTGAAAAGGCTTGCTACACAACGCTTTTGGCAGATGCGAACCCTTGGATTGACAGAGGCTTGGCAAAACCATGTGAAGGCGTCCTGCGCTCCCAATCACACCTTGCCATGGCCGCGCTTGTAGATCAGCTCGTGGACAGACTTGAGGTTTGGGTAGCCCCATGCGATGTAGGGCTCTGCCAGCCGCAGCATCTTCACTGTGGCCTTGTTGATCTTGATGAACACGCCATTGTAGAGTTGCCGGAGTCGCAGCAGCTGCAGGATCTTCTGGGTCTGCGAAAACACCCCCAGGGGCAGGTGTCAGCATCACAATTCAGTGCCTGGCCAGATCGTCTGCGCCTTAGCAATCCCCCACAGCGGGTCAGCACGATTAGAGTCACAACACAGTGCAGCACAGCATGCTTGTACCAGGTTCAGCTGGATGAGAAGGCCTCTGAGCAACACAGCACTCTGGTGATACATGTGTGTGGCCAGACGCCATACAGGGACAAGGATCAGCAGCTAAGAGAAAGGAGAGCACTGTGGCTCACGCAATCAATTCAGAAGTCGATAAGTATTGCCTGGGTTGTGAATGTAGTGTCCATGGTCCTTTTGCATTGCACCTAGTTCACCCTCTGCTTTGGGGAGTGCACTTGCAAAATTGGTTTGGAACCGGCAGAATCAACAGAGAGTGTAGTATCTGTATCCGTATTGGTAATGACCTGCATGCTAGGTGGGCTGACTATCTCAATATTTGCATCGGCAAACAAGTTACCTTTGGATGCATCTTGTTGATTCCCTTTATCCTTATCACGAAAGCCAGCTTGGCCTCGGGCTCCACGTAGAACCCACCGGATGCCTTGGCTGCACGGCGAAGGCGTACCAAGTCCCTCTCCTGCACCATAGCGCGAGCAGGCACCCCATGAGGAAATGAAACAGTGCTGATGTCCACAAGCAGTGACAACATCACGGCGATCTGTGACAAAATTCGTGATGAGAAGTGTCCTTTGTGCACAGGCACACATCCCCCAAAAGCTGCCCAAGCCTTGTCCACTTGAATCTTGGAAATTTTGTCGTTTTTGCACAGCTTGCGAGGTAAAACGTGCGTATCGACTGTAGCGACCCGTCTCATACGTCGATGAGCCAATAACCAACTCTCGGCTTGTCTCCATGCTCCTCCACGCCCAAGGCAAGCAACCTGAGCTTGGCTCAGAAATTTAACGGCAGCCTCCGATATGCCACCAACATCTGGAGCAATCCACGCAGCCAGTCGCAGTCATCAAGCCAAAGCATCCCAGCAGGCCATGGGCCGCAGCCACACTGAGCATCTCACCCAAACGACGCCCAATTCCATCCCCTCCATTCACACGCTTGTCCCCTCCTATCTCGGGCGCCAGGGAGGCGAGCCCCAGCCGACAAGCCACACAACTAGCGAGCCCTGCGGCGCCTTCCAAAGGCCACATCGCCGCCCACAAGCTTCCCGCCGTTGACAGCAATCCCCAGGGGGTCCCGACAAGCCTTTGCATGGCATGGAAACGTTGTCGAAAGACTGCCAAGCACAAGCGCCAAGAACGAGTCGCGCGCGGGCCATTTTCGGACCGCCTACCTGCGCCCTGTGATCCTTGACGTACTGTTCCGCCCTCTTGAACACCTCCCTCTGCTTGTCGTTGTGCTTCTTCTGCCCCTCCAGCCGGGCGGCCGCCCGCTTGGCAGCCCACTCCTCCTCCCGCTTCCGCTTCTTGAGAAGGGTCTCCGGAATGGTGGTCGCGGCCTTGGCGGCCGGCGCGGGCGTGGCTGGCTTGCCTTTGGTCGGCGCCATCGTCCCAGGGCTGTCCCCGTTGGCAACCGCAGCCGCCGACGCCTTCAGTAGTGCCCTTGGGTCTGACGTTTTTTTTTTCTGTTTTTTTCAGTAGGGTGTAGCCATTCCCAGGGTCCAGGGGCCTATGGGGCCCGCAGGCCTGAATGCACGGCAACGGATCACAGCGGAGCGAAGTGTCTCTTGGGGCTTAGCCTCCTATATGCAAGGTTGTACGTTAATGTCATTGACACTGTTACGGCTAGAACTGATTGAGTGTTGTAAATAACTGAATGTATGAAAAGATGACGAAGCACTAGGAATTGTATTAAGGATGTTGATGAACGGACTGGGTATAAAGGACAGAACGTCTGTTGTCCTTTTGCCTCGGCTGTAAACCGTTGCCGTGGACTTGAGCGTACGATTCCCGTTCAGGGATCGCCACCCCTCGACCCTGCCTGCCTTCGTCAACACCATTGATGCCGTATCGCCGTCTTCTTGAAGGAAAGGCCGTTGATGCGATTCAAACGGCCCCCTTTGGAGTGCACACAGGAAGCGCGAATCCACGATCGCCGATGCTTCAACGGCGTTGGTACACGGCCAAACGCAAGGCCACACCACACACAACACGCCCAGGGCTTACATATTTGTTCACCCTTCTCACAGCGAAGAGCCTTGCCGACGGTGGCAACGACCCCCGCAACTGAACAGCTCGAATTGTTTTGCACCCACAGAACTCTTCTTTTGACAATACAACAACCATCATCCATCAACAACCAGCCATACAACACTTCAAAGATGCCCACTCATCGCCACAATAATTCTGTGAATCCTAAAACACATTTTTCTTTTTTCTATAGATTCAGAATGTCTTGCATATAAACCATATTCTTGACGTGTATACAAGTCGCACACCATAATGCATAAGTGATCCACCTATTGAAACGGTGGTCATTATGCAGTGTCGCGAATAGTCTCCAATTGCTGCCCCTCGATGTGGGGGAAGTGCTTCCAAAGCCAAACAACATTGAACCAAACAACATTCTGGGCGGCACTCGGCATAAGTTGGTGGGAGACTTCGAAAACTCATGCAAGTCGATGGCAAGCACGAATGCTGCAAGCCAATTCGAGACAACAGAGTGTGAGTTGGCCCTCTCAGCAAGGAGTGCGGTTTACCATGTTTGCAAGCATATACGCACCTGGTGGGGGTCGTGAAGGAATGTTGCTTTCAACATTGTATCTCTACTCCAAATTTGCATGATCTTTGGAGTTTGTGCGTTTGTGGTGCTGCGAGTGACTGGACAGGCGCCGGCGGCCTTGCCGTCCACTGCAGCAATAGCTTGCCAAGCTGGGAGCCGGACCCAATCCCCGCCAAGCGCACTTGTGTCAGCTCCAAAACTTCCTACACTATACCATGTTGCAACATGCCAGTAGAAGACTGTTGCGGGTCGTTACAAGGCCGGCTATGGTCATACAGGCCTTTACATGACAGCCATCCCAGAGTTCGCTGACGCGAGGACGGTCTGGGAACTGACTTTGCAGGGGACATTCCTTTGTTCGGTTGTCTGAGATTGTACTACGACCGTGGCCGTCTGCCCATGAGCTTGGAGACTGAATATGGGATTCCTGCAAGAACTCAAATGGCGGTGTGTTTCTGTATTCGATCTAGTGGCCTTTGGCAGCTCGGTGTAACTCATTCTGCCGATATTGCTGTTTACCATTTTGACCTCAGGAACAGGGACTACAGCGCAAAAGCATGTTGACTGTCCACACATGCAGGATTGCTAATTTGAGAGACACGGGGTCCCCCCATTTCCGCACAGTTTCAGCAGTAGTTCTCCCTTAAGGGAGAACTACTACTGTGGTTCTCTGTCAGTGCAGCTTCACTGCTGCAAAGTATGGTCCTTTGGCTATTTCCGCATCGCCTTGGTGTAAGGGTATGCAGGGTTGCTTGGGTATCCATCGCCTTCAATGTCGGATAGTTATTCTTTCTTTCCGCATTTCTCTTTTACAGCGACTGTGGGCAACTCGGGCCATCCTAATAGCGCACGCAGTGTATACACAGACGCATATGCTAAGGCATAAGCGATACAACCTGAGAATTGGTGGCCGTTGTGTGGTGTCACAGTCAAGGCGATTGTGGCGAGTCATTGTCAGTGGTGAAGTTGCTCAGCAACAGAGCAAGTTACGAAATGGTACTGGCTAGAACACCGCATCCATCTTCTGACATCTGTGTTGTCAACGTGTTCGCAACACCGCATAATGACCACCGTTTCACTGGGTGGATCACTTATGCATTATGGTGTGCGACTTGTATGCACGTCAAGAATATGGTTTCTATGCAAGGCATTCTGAATGTAGAAAAAGAAAAGAAAAATGTGTTTCAGAATTCACAGAATTGTTTCTCATGTGATGGGACTTTTGTGAGCATCAACTTGGTTGTTGTGGGAGATGCCATCCGATTTAGAGACAAGTGTTATGTTGAGGTCGCGCTCGCAGCTGAAATATTTCTACATTACCATTGAGTGTATGGGCACCTTTAGTATATGTGTTATAGAGTGGGTTGCATTGTGGCGATGAGTGGGCATCTCTGAAGCACGGTATGGCTAGTTGGTGATGGATGATGGTCCTTGTCACATGAAAAGGAAAGTTCTGTGGGTGCAAAAAAATTCGAACTGTTCGGTTGCGGGGGTCGTTGCCACCGTCGGCAAGGCTCTTCGCCGTGGGAAGGGTGAACAAATATGTAAGCCCTGGGCGTTTTGCGTGTGGCGTGGCCTTGCGTCTGGCCGTGTGCCAACCCGTTGAAGCATCGGCGATCGTGGATTCGCGCTTCCCGTGTGCACTCCAAAGGGAGCCGTTTGAATTGCATCAACGGCCATTCCTTCAAGAAACGGACAATCGTGGGCTGCAGTTACGATGTAGATGATTGTCACAGGGTTTGTGGCGCCTTGCGGGGCCGCCACCAGCGCAACCAACAACCAACGGTGGTTTTGCTTCCCGCCATCGGTGGTGGTAAACTTGATTTCCACCGAAGCAAGTTCTGACAAAAGAGATCTTTGATTCAAGGTCCACCAGGTGTGCAACGAGGTTCACGTGAATACATTCACTGGCGTTGTAATCGCCTGGAATGGTCATGGCTTATGAACGCTCACAGCTTCAAGGAATCTACAACGCAAAACTGCCGCTAACTTCTTGTTTCACCTCGCACTATTCACACAACCATTCAGGTGCCAGGCAGCTGTTTCTTCCAAAACGGGCAACTGATGTTGATGGGAAAATATCAGCATATTGCCTCAGAAATGTCATATGGGAACAGGAATATTCCCATTCATTTCTGAACAACAACACAGAAGTGCCAAAGCCACAATCGACATTCAACATGCACAGCGCAGCACTGTGGTCAATTTACATGGTTGCTACAAAGTCCATGCGAGCCCGGTAAGGGGTGTGCGATTCAGCATTCATGGTACATGCTCTAACAGTCTAGACAATGGCCTCCACCTCTCAACATAAGTTGTCGCCACATAGGTCCGTGTGAAACCTCAGCACTCCACTTCCCCAATCGACTGTTCCAGCCCAACTTGAAGTTGCACGTCTTTCCACCCAACCACCCCTTCAATAGAGTCGCTTGCACCAGCATATAAAACTATTGACTTGACGATCTTGTTTTGCGCTTCATCATCGACAGCAAGAGCATCCATGTCCTCCCTCACTGCGTAACGAATGCGCCTCTGCACAGCAGGGGTCAGCTTGCCAAATGCATCAGCAAATTTGCGCTCCTGGATGAGGATGACAGCTGTACATAGTGTGTCAACACGCTTCGGATGTCCGTTCTTTTTTCCGTTGTTCAGACTCACCATCATGCTGACATACGAACAGAGATACAGCTCTCTCTGCCATTCTTCTCCTCCTTCTGCGCATTGATCCCAGGCTGTGGCAAGTTCCTGGTGCTCACAAGCACTGTTGAACCACCTGATGAGCCAGGCGTTGTCCACATCCTCCATCAGCAGGCTGAGCTCAGTGGCTGCATTGACATACCGTTCGCCAAGGCCTCCAAATTGGGCCTTCATAACTGCATGCACCTTTGTGCGCCTTGTTTTTGCTGGGCGAGGGTACCAGCTCGACCACATCTCAACCTGACCCAGCAATGCAGTGGGGTATTGTGCATCAGACATGAAGCGAAGTTCGAAAGGCCTCAAGCCCTTGTTCCTTGCAAGAGCACCTCCAGCAATGAATGCCCAGGTGTGGTCTGACTCCCGTGTGTAGCTGTAAGTCTCAGTTACGAGGGCCACAGAGTATGAAATGATGCCCCTCGATGCTCTCACCTGGAACAGCTTACTATTGCGGCCTCCCCACAATATCGACAGTCTGCCATCACCAATTTGAGGGTAATAATCAATATAACCCTTTTCCTTTGCCTGCTGTGTTTTTGTGTTCTGCATAATGTCCCGCAGGTCTCCAGGCACCCTCTCTGAGCATCTCAGTTGATCCATCACAACTCCAGGGTCAAGACGAGTTTTGCCAGTGTACCAAGCCACCCAATTACTCGGGTTAAATTTGCTCTCTATTGGAGTCACATTTGGATCATCATGCTGGCAGTACCTCAGAGCCGAGTGCCACAACCCAGGAGGCATGTGTGCAACCCAGGCATCCTGCAAGCCACGTCCAGACCGGCTCATTCCAGTCCATGCCTTGTAGATCAGCACTTTCCTTGTATGAATCTGGTAGGCACGCACTGCAAAAGTGGCAATGAACACTGCCATCTCAGCGGCCAGGACAAGAATAGTTGTGTCTACATCTTCTCCTCCTTCGAAAGCAACGATGGCGCATGCCAAGGCAACAGTTACAAGCACGCTGGCCAGCAGCCAATACCACCACTCCTGCAGGAGCATCCACAACCTCAGGCTCCACCTGCCATTCAAATGTACTGCATTAGCCAGGCTGATGCCCACTGCCACCGCAACATTTGTTGTTGCTCCAATAGCAATTGCTGATGCTCTCATTGCTCTTGTGAGGCGTGTGTCATCGCCAACTTCCTTTCTGATGAAATCTACAGCATCCTCGATCTCGTCAAGCTTCTGTGTAACCCTTTCTTGTGCCGATACTTGATTAACAAGCAAAAACGCAGCAGCAACCACCAACTGCAGCACAGCACCCTGTGTGCACACAGTATTCCATCTGCATCGCCTGCCCAGCCTTGGCAGCTGTTCAACATCTGATCTGCCATTCAATGTGGTCTGCAGGGCAGTGCCCAGGGCCATTTCTTCTCGCCCTCGTGGCCCAGGCCGCCCTCCCTGCACTGCTTCCCCAGCTTCCGAGAGGACACCGTGTTTCTGAGGCATGACCCGATGTGTGCCTAACACTGGCCCAGGGCGCTCACCAGTCTCCAGCACAGCGCGCTGCATAGGAAGACTCTGACCGCAATGGCTGGATGAGCGATCCAACCTCAGTCTCCACAAGTGGCGGAGCTTCACAGGGTCCCGTGGCGCGGCTTCCTAAGCGCCATCCACAACACAGATTGTTAGGAAACTGCAGTCCGCGGCAGCCCGTGGATTGTACCTCGGACCGGGCCCAGCAGAATGCCTTCGCCATCCCAGTTCTCGAAAGACTCGAAGTCGCAGGGTAGTTCGTGAGCACGAAGATTCGGGGAACTTCGGCAAATCCAGCTCGGGCGTGGCGGTGGCAGCGTTCGCCGGAAGCCCGGGGCGTCCGCGCTCGTCTGACGCATGCGATTATCAATGGGGGCAACGCCGGGAGGACTACCAACCTCGTGCGCGCAGCCGTCGTGCATTCCGTCGGACGCCTCGCGCGGCTTGCCGCTCTCAAGTGCCAACAGTGCCACCTGGCCACACGAACGCGCGGAGCATTTAGTTGGACAAGCAGAACCGCTGCATGCGCTCCAGACGTCCGTCTATCTAGCGAATACCATTGTGGGCTGTCCATGCTTTTGTCGACGTCTCCCAAATGCGCCAGACGCGCTCTAGGTGTGCGCCCGCTCCCCGAGGCCCCGGAAAGTCGAAGAGGCGCACCGAGTCGTGTCCAGGCATCAGCCCCATGCAGCCCAGTCTGCCTGCTGGTACAGCCCTTTACGCTCTTCTTTGGGTTTTTCCCCTTTCTCGGAAATGGCCACACCTGAGCAAGGTGCTTGTTTCATCAGCTTTGAAGCTGTTCGCGGACTCCCAAGTGCCTACACCGGCAACCTCCTCCCCCTGTTGAGCCCCGCCCCAGCCGCCTTCAAGTGAACATCGAACGGCGAAGTTCCGTTCCACAACGGACGGAAGGCGCGGTCCCATAGTGCGACCCGCAGCACCGACGCGGCTTCCGGATTGCCAGCCCGGTGCGGGGCGTGGCTGGAGGGTGGTGGGGTGCCACGTTGCTTCACAGGCAACCGTGACTCCTTCTCAGCCCAACCAACATGTGTGCCAGGTCGTACTCGCGCCTGAAGAACGCGTGAAATTCTCAACTGGCGCGCCTAAGTGGAGGCGGTACAGCAGGGGCAGGTCCCGGACAGGGCACCTCACCAACTTCCACCCATTGCAGCTCAGATTCGCAACCAGCCACGGAACAGACTACGACGAAAGAGCGAGACTGCAGGGGCAAACAATATTGTTTAATGTGTGCATTACAATTAATGTTGCGTGATTGTGATACGACAATGACTGGTCCATCATTGAGAGATGGCTGTATGACTATAAAGGGACATGCCTGTCCGCAACCTATCTGTAACTCTGTACCCTCAGCTGTGTCCCCAAGCCCGTGGCTGTGCCTGCCTCCGATATAGTCCCACTCCGAACCTAGCGTAGCAATTGGTGCCCTCGTGCCCGATTAATTGGGCACGGGTTGGCACTGGGCGCGACGGCTGACGAGTGTTTGCGACTTTGCCATGTAACCTGGTTGTGTCGACGTTGACGAGCCGTAAAAATACGTAAATATGGGTCTTCCTGTGTTTACGCATTTTTATGCGTAAAACATAAGCGCAAAAATGGTGCCGTAAACGTGCAGACACAACCTGAAGAAAAGTGCCCTGGAGATACTGAAAATACCTGTGCAAATACCTTCTGTTTGCAATACGATTCTCCCTAAGCGGAAATGCTACAGTCCAGAGAAAATGTGAATGTCCGTTGACGCTGTAAGGAGCATTAGGCGCGTCGTTAGGAGCCCCCATTAGGGCGGCATTGGCGGGAACTGCATGCGGCCCGTTCTCCGACGTTGGGCACCCAGAACGTAAACAAATCGACGGGCTTCGGATGCAGTTGGGACTCGAGGCCAAGATACGAGATATTCCCAAGAACAGTGTTGTTGGCAATTTTACCTTGGGAAATGCAGTGGGTGTTAAGGACTGTGGACTCGTGTTCGTTCTACATTTTTGCTGATCGGATAATTCGGACGTCATTGCTTTTTGGTATAATGGAACGCAACATTCCGCACCACTCGCCCACAAAAGGCGAGAAGCATTTTTAATTGTATTTCCAGCACAGAATATCGGTATGCGGCCACCTTTTTCCGTCTTTCTACCCTTGCCTCTTACAGGAGTGCTTACAAGGCCGCCCGCACCTCCCTGCAATGCTCTCAGCATGCTATTTCCCTGAATGGCAACTAGCTGCGGCCGAAGACCATGCCCCCATTGACAGTTGCAAATAACTATGCAAACTATGCTAACACCAAAATTATTGCCTCGAAAACAACAAAGATCTCCTGAAGCACCCGTCACAGTGTACAGGCCAGTGCGCGCAGATCCAGAACAGTCGGTGGAGACTACTGTGTCAAAATTTGACATTTAAGCCCGAAGCATTTTCCTCTGAGGTGGATCCCGGAAACGAAGTCTTGCACCATGCATGGATTCAGCTACACCATTGACAAATGGAATTGATGGACATGTCAAACGTGGCAGCAGAGGGAAAACTCAACAGTGTTGGTCCCCAGGCGGCGTATCCAGCCCAACACCAATACGCACATCCCTCCAACTCACTATCTCATTAATCTTATCAGTCGCCCCAGAATACAAGACAATTGTCTTGACAATTTTGTCTGCTGCGTCATCACTGTCCGCAAGAGCATCCATATCCTCTTCCACTGCATTCCGAATGCGGTCCTTCAGCGCATCAGACAGTTTTTCAAATATGCCGCGGAAACTACCCTCCTGGATGAGGACTGAAGCTGCGCATAGTGTGTCAACACGCCTTGGAATTCCATCCCTTTTTCCGTTGTTGAGGCTCACCATCATGCTGACGTAAGAGCTCAGATACAACTCTGCCTGCCAGGCTTCACCACCAGTTCCAGATTGACCCCATGCAGTTTGGTACTCCTGATGCTCACAAGCTTTGTCAAGCCATTGAATGAGCCAATAGTCATCCACATCCTCCATGAGCAGGCTGAGCTCTGTGCCTGCATTAACGAATTTGTCGCCAAGCCCATGGAAATGGGCCTTCACTTGCTTGTGAACCTTCGTGCGTCTCGTCTTAGCCGGCCGAGGATACCAGGTCGAGTCATTTATGACATGGTCCAACAGATCACCGGCGTACTGCTCATTCGACATGAAGCGAAGCCGGTGGGGCAGTAATCCTTTGTTCCTTCCCAGCACACCCCCTGCGATGAATACCCAGACAAAATATGTTTCTTTGGTGTAGCTGTAGGTGTCCGTGACGAAATCCACATCAAACGAAGTTACGGACCTCGATGTCCTCACTTGGAAACATTTGCTGTTGCGGCCTCCCCACAATATTGACAGCCTGTCGTCGCCAATGTCCGGGTAGTAGGAAACGTATCCTTCCGCATGTGCCTTCCTTTTTTCTGTTTCCCCCACGGTCTGCCGCAGGTCGTCTGGTAACTTTTGCGACTTCCTCAGTTGATCCATCACAACTCCGGGATCAAGGCGAGTTTTGCCAGTGTACCAAGCCACCCAATTGCCTGGGTTGTATTTGCTCTCTATCGTTGTCACATTGCCATCATTGACTTTGCACAGTTTGAGTGCCCTGTGCCAGTGTTGCGGAGTCATGTGCGTTACCCAGGCATCCTCCCCACTGCGGGCTGACCGGCTCATGCCATTCCATGCCTTGTATATTAATACTTTTCTTCTGTGGATTTGGTAGGCTCGCGTTGTAAAAGTGGTGGAGATCACAGCCATTTCGGCAGCCAAAATTAGAATGGTTGCATCCACGTCTTCCCCTCCCACAAAAGCCAAAACGTCAAATATTAAGGCGATTGTGACGAGCACGGAAGCCAGAGTCCAGTACCACCACTCGTGCAGAAGCATCCACGTCCTGAGGCTCCATCCGCCGTTCAAATGCAATATATTGACCAAGCTGCTGAATCCAGCCACCACAATATTTGTCGCTGCGCCAATTGCAATTGCAGACCACCTCATTGCCTTTGTGAATTCTGAACCGCCGCTGACCTCCTTCCTGATGAAGCTCAACTCGTCGAAAATTTCAGTGATATTCGGGCTGGTTGCTTGCTGTGCTGACGCGCCATTGGCAAGCAGCACCGAGAGAACAACACCCACTGTAAGCACAGTCCCCAGTGTCGTGTTCCATGGAGTTCTCTTGCTCTTACGTGTCCTTGTCCTCAGTGTCCGTTCCCCATTCTGCGCCGAGCGGAGCTCGCCCGCCTCATCATTGCCGCATGGCGCCAGCCCTGCGTTTGCCAATTCCTTGTCACCTTCGAAACAGAGAACGTGCCTGCCGTTCTCACAAGTGCAAACGAAATTTTGGCGTTGCCATTTGACACTTACTGACGTCATCACAACCGCTTCTGCTGGTATCGCAGTCACCGCGATGGCGCCACCTACTGTCAAAATGGCATCGGAGTTCGGTTCGCAAAAACGGTGTTTCTGCTAGTTCCTGCTACCTGACACCCGCCAAGAACCAACGCTTGTCGGGACTCGACAAGCCCGGTGCGAACCAACCGTTGCGCGCACACTGTACTCAACAACAGCAATGGACAGGGGCTCTACCTCGGCATTCCCACCAAAATGGAGGAAAAAGGAAGTTTAATCGAGAAAATTTGTTCAATTGTACAAATGCTGAATGGAGAAAAAATGTTCAATCGTTGCTTACCGCCAGTCGATGGGTTGGGACAGTCTTCGTGTGTAGCAAAAGTGGATCCGTTGACGACGAGGCCGGACTCCTCCTCCTCGCCGCTGCTGCCCTGTTGGCGGCATCGGAGCTCGAGGATGCTTTCAACACGACGCCCCCCACCGGGCCAGCCGTGGCATTTGCTCGACGTCCGCAGCGTAAGCATTTGCCACCCGAAGGCCGTTGGGGCCTTCACGGTGCGGCGTCCAGCCCCCAGTGTAGTGTCGTACATTGTCGCGGAGACACGCGCTGCGCAGCATGCACAGCAAAGGGGGCCGTCCGTCAGAAAACTCAAGCAATTCTGGCGGGAGCGCAGCCCGGCCGGTCGATCTGTAGCATTGGCGAGATGGTGCATCGTGCTGCCGCTGACGACTCGGGCACGGTGCACGCTCCAACAATAAGCAGGCGAGACGCGTGAGGGGGCCAGCAGCGATCTTGGCGTCGGCTCCAGTAGGCCAGCGCCAAGGAGGTTGGATCCAACCGAGCACGAGCACGTTCCAGCCGGGACCTAGCCGTACCGGAATCTGTGGTTGCACCTTCCTCCACCCCTTGGTGTCCGTGTAGTGCCGAGCCGTGAAGGTGGGAGCGATATGGAGGGAGGAGAGCCCGCCGCCAGCCACGGCCGCATCAAAACACCATCCGAAGGTCTTGTTGTGCCAAGGCGGCTCGTCGCGTCCGCCGTCTCGCGCAGGTCCCCAGAGACGCCTTGCGCGGGCCGAGCTCTGGAGTCTCAAGGGCGGACCGGCTTTTATCATCAGCAAGAGGACCTTCCAGAGAGATGGCCGCACGAGAAGCTGGAGGCACATCGGCTCCTTCAAATTCATCACACGTGGATCCATCACCATGCCCGGCTGCGTCCCACTTCCGATGGTGCGAGCCGCCGAGACTGACGGTGCTGCTGGGGATGTCGTGTTTATGGCAGTACATGGCGATCCGGGAGTCCAGGTACGTACATCCAGGGCACTTCCGATGCATGGGCTATTCCCGGTGAAGCCAAATGCGCAACGAGCGCAGATTTTTTCTCGGTCAAGCACGTCCGGAAGTCGCACGTGCGCGCACGCCCCACTTTCCTGATGGTGCACACACACGACGACGACGTTGGAATATTCGGGAAACGCAACCTACCATCCAGCTGGGGTGCGCGCTGGTGCGAAATCATGCCGGGAGCCAGCAGCTGCGGACCCCGGCAAAGTATTAACTACAATTACCAACTTGCCATTGAAATTACGCTGAGGGGTGCCGCGTCGCCACAGTCACTACTGACTCTGGCAATCAGATAGCACTCTGCGACTAGGCTGTCAACGTGCGGAAAGTTTGTACAATGCGTGGCACCTGTGTCGAGGGCATTGTGGCCAGGCTGGGACTTTACCGGACAAATACACATCGTATTTATGTTGTTAAGCATAAACAGGCGTAAAATTGCGTAAATACAGGCGTGAATATGTATTCACGGATGTACCCACACTTGTACATAGCGCTAGGGCTGCCTTGTCAACCGATGACCAACTGTGCCCTTCACCGGCAATGGGGCGCAAGCTTTGCACTCCCTTAGGGAGTGTTCCAGCTGTCTGCCAAGCACTTTAAGGATGTGAAAGGCTTGCAAGACACCTGTGCATTCTGTGGTCTAGTCGTGCACAGCGGAGAGGTGCACCGATGTTGTCACCTCGCTTGCATCAGCGGCTCTAGTGTGCCAACACGCATGGGCGAAGTTCCCTAGATGGTCATGAAGGAGTTTGCAC